GCTCGTAGTACAGGTAATAGTATTTATTAGTGGTGTCGTCGCATAGATATTTTTTTTTTACCATCGACAGGATCTTCCAAGCAGTGCTCTGACAATAAAATAAAAAATTGTACTGGGCTTCACAGAAGCACATAATAATCATTGCAATATACCGATCCACAATAATAAATTATTCAATTATTTTGCTGTATTGCAAGGGTCAGGACGGGGCAGTGGTGTGAGATTGACCCTATCACGCCACTGGCTTGGGTTCGAAGCCCACTGCTGCAGAGAAGGCTGGTGACTATCATCCAAGCTGGGTTCTTTTAGCCAACCAAATATAGCCGGCGATGGCAAGATACGAGCCAGCCTGAGCAGCAGAAGCATAGAACTAAATTTGGACGAACACAAAATAAGGAGTCTAACCCCCAGAACCACCAACGTCGAGGCACCTTCACACCAGTCAACTGGTAAGAAATCAATACAGTAATTACGGGGACAATTTTATTTTTACGGACTTTTATGAAAGCCAATAATAAATTATTAAATAAATACAATGCTATAATAATTGTATTATATTTATTTTTTCAGAGCACTGCATGTGGGCCATCGGGCGTGAGCGCACGGGCTAGTGCCGAAGTGACGCTATGTATCGAACGATCTACAGAGCATTATAACTGTAGTGTTTTTAGTTTGTTGTACTGCGATTGCTCTACAGCCGATGAGGAACGCTGGGTCGACCAAATCGAGTGCACCTGCAAGCTGGCCTACGGATGAGGCTCCAGGTAATTACGTTTACTAACAACATTAATGTGGCGTTTCTGCTAATTTAGCGTGTCACTCTTCACCGGAACTACCGCCGACGAAGCATCCTGCAAACACGCATGCTACTAATGCTCCAAGTAGGCAGGTATCGTTTGGAGATGAAAATGCAAGATTTACTAAAGAAGTAATGTTGTTTGTGGTCGTTGAATCAATTTCTGTTTGATTTAAGCTCCCAATGCTACCTTACGCGCACGTAAACCCATTGCCTATGTCTTTTTTACCCAAGGCTTCACGATGCGCGTTGACTACAATGATGAGGATTACGACCCGGAGCGTGATCCTGACAACGGTTTGGACGATGATGTCGAGGAGATTCCCAGGACTATTCGCACAGCAGAACAACGTGGCAGCGGACGTCACACAGGCGTTATCGCCAAGGACAAGAACGACAACGCCAAGGAAGCCGACAAGGAAGTGGACGTCAATGCTAGACGCAAGTGAGATGACGAACAACACGTGTCGGGTACGTTATGCGCATTATTTGGATATGTTGCTTGGGTATTGCCTAATGATACACCCACACTAACTGCCAATACTGTTGTGTTTAATTACTAATGTATTGAGGCATCCACCCGCCGTTTGGTGCTTGCCGCGCTAGTTGAAGTCGAGGAGGAGGCTGCCAGCAGTCATGGCGCCGTTCACGACGAAACGGAGAAGTCAGGCGGATGCTGGTGTTAACGGCGATGACTCGGAACAACTCGCCACAAGCAACACAACGGATGGCAATAGCTCAAGTCGTGAAGCACGCAACAAATCACTACACATTGAAGTGGCCAACGATGAAAACTACCGCGAAATTACTTCACGTGCGTTTACTTTACCCATCTTATTGTGTTGCTAGTATTGCTGTGAATGTAGCTCGCGATGTTGCTGACTATGTTGCTGTAGGTATTGCTGCTAATTACTCAGATCGACGACCCGAGGATTTGGTGTGTACAAAATTAAGGGTGGGCTGGAGCCTGCGGAGGACTCTGACAGGTCCTCTGCGGGGCTTGAGAGAGGGTTGCAGTGGGTGCCACGCCACGACCATTCTGATCGAGACCCCTCTCGAGCGCACAGACGCC